CCTGGTACTAGGATGGGTTAAATGCAGAGAACACATTTCACTGTGTGTGCTGTGTGCTCTGCATGTGTGACCATTAAAGAGGGTTTCATCCCTCCCAATTCTATTCTATATTCCCCATGCCTATTTTTGTCTTTTGGGAAGTATTTGGAATTGCACACACACACAAGACCATAGAGGCTGCATAGGGTGCATTGCATTGATGAACAGTAGGGGCTAGTTTGGATGCTTTGTGTGTTGAAAGTGTAGGAGGTCAGGGGGGGTTTGGCGAAGTTTACATGCATGTGTGGTGTGTGGGGGTATACAAAGGGAAGTGGAGTGTCCTGGAGAGTTCTGCCTCTCCCCTGCAGGTGAACTGAAAGGTCATGCTGCATTATGTCTATTGTCAGGAGTGTGTTTGTCAGTGTCAAGCTTGTGCACTGACAGAGAGGGAGAAGGCAACCAGATTTTCTACGGTAGCCTGTCTTCAGCAGACGCCAAGTTTCCTTCAAGTTGTTTCTGGAGTCTGGATGCTCCCTGAATAGTTTTGACGGGTTCAAACGTCTCCTTATTATCACGAGACAAGCAGCCGATCGACAGCCATAATCAGAGCTCTGTTTCTCTGGTTCCCAGGCTGATTAGCTGGCTGACATGAGCCGCATTCATCACTGCTGACAGTTTTATTATAAAAAATTCAGATCGGAGAGGAAATCTCTTTGGGGAGAATAATACAGAGTAGATGAAATAACACGGCCGCACAATGAAAAATCTTTTACCTCACTGACACGATACAATTCTCTATCTCCTCATCATTTGCATTTGCTCTAAGGCACTGCTAATATTAGGCAGGCAGTCACAATGTTGCATTGTATGCAAAGGGCATGGCTATTGTATTCCCTAAGAGATTTATGCAAATCGAGTTATGCTAATAATATACCATGCAAATGAGCTGTTCCGACAACACTCCTCTAAGTAGCACCCTATAATGTACTGTGCCTGGTGAGGATGTGAAAGCTAAAAAAAAAAGCCTGCGCGCAATGAATAATTTTAAACTTCTAAAAATAGATTTGAGGGAAAGGCGCTTTCGTGACATCTCCTCCTTGCAACAATGTCAGACAGGCATCTCAGAATCTTAAGAGAATCCCCAGAACTTTTCTAGTATATTTAGTTTTTGACAGCAGACGGAGAAGATCATGTTTACATAATGTGCATCGAGCTTCTTCTCTGTGTGAAATGTAGTGCATTGTAGGTGTAACTTATCTCCAAAATCTCCAATCTCTAAAGCCATTTTTAATCTTAAATGGGCATATAGCAAACAGTTTAAGCTCCTGATAATCTCATCTGATAAAATAATCACACATTTCAGTGACACATCGTTGGGTTTGATTTGAAGAGCTTACATCTGAGAGGTGCGCGGACACGGACTCACCAGGGACCGGTTTGTAGTAAATTCACACATTGCAGCCTCCTCACAGTCCCCGCACCTCCTCCTATGTGACATTGTATGAGAGGTGTTTTTTTTCCTCCACCCTTGAGAGAGAAAATGATTGCTCTCTCTAGCAGAGCTATATACAGCAATTTGTGTTTTTGCTCCCCGATATAACACTTAACCTTTATAGAGATCCCGGCTGCTCTTCCTCATTATCTCTTTCAAAGAAACCACCGTACTGCGGGTGGACACTTCCCCGTACTAATACACGGGAGAGGAGAAGGCGAACAAAGGGCTGGACAGGTAGTGTCTCGCAGCAGTGCGCAAGGCACCAGGCTCAGGTTGCCGCCCTCTTCCTCAGCAGACTCCCCGGCAGTGATTACATAATCTGTGGTGTGATTAAAAAGCCTGCCCTGGACCTCGGGGG